ATGGTGTGAATAAAGTAGAAAGACGGGAAATCGGGATGAGTGTATTTGGTGTGAACGGCTGGTGAAGTACGACGGCAGCAGAGGGAAAGGCTGCGTTCATCAAGGATGTACTCTTTAAAAAACCAAACAAAACCAAACCACCACCTTTTCACCTGAAATAATGAGTGCTTTTCACTGGAGTAGGTTTAACATCTCGCTTGTCATTCTAGCTCTTTCATTACACTAGCTTTTTAATAGAGTTATGTGATTACTGAAGAACTAATTAAAAAATTACCATTGTGATCTCACTGGGAAAATATTTCTCTGTTCAGAGGAAGGTGGTTTTTAATTAAACCTCTTTTGATGAAATAGTTTTGTGAATACAACAATGTCCCAGTACTTTGCTATTTAAATATTTCTTGAAGTAAGAACGTAGAAAATTTGAAAATAAAAATAGAAGAAAAATGCATCAGCAAGGATAACTGAGATCTGGAACTCTGCATATTCTTTGAGTGCAGATTAATAACTTCATTGCTTATTTAAACAAGCCACTAAACACTTTAGTATGTAGAGGTATTTAGGTGCATGGAGAGAAGCACTCAGTGCAGTGCTAGAGAACGTTCTGGAAGTTCCTGATCTGGTTACATTGACCAAGGGAAGCTGTAGAGTGAAAAAATGCTGCCATGCTATTAATAGAGTCTTGATTGCTGGTTAAGGGATACATATTTATTCAGGTGCTGTATTTTAATTTAAATGAGATCCTAACCCGCTGTTTGCAGAAAGGAGAGGGCGGGTTGGTCCCTGGGGAAGAACAGGTGATGGAAATGAGTAGGGGACCGGGGAAGAGGAATGGAGACATCAACAAGGGAGCCAGGGAAAGCAAGGAACAGAAACACTGTGAGCTTCCTACAGGAGCAAATTGCTGAAGTGTGTCACTAACAGGACACGGATTTCGACAAGATGAGAAACGAGCACAATGCCTGCGGTTGGAGATGAGACCTGGCTGTGAGGCGGTCAACACAGGCCGTGTCTTTATTCCGGATACGGGCAGGTTTTAGTGGAAGAAATCACCCCTGAGGCAAATCTTCCTGTGAACTTGTCTCACTCGGCTACAGTCAGAGGCTGAGGAATTACAGGAAAGATGTTCCTTGTGGGGGATGCTGAAACGGGGCTGAATGAGGGCCTGTGCCAGAAGAAGCAGCAGGATCTCACTAGTGGGAAGATTTCTCATCGTGAGGTGGAAGGAAGAGGAGATACACAGAACATCTGTCCTGCTCGTTGTGCCCTGAGCTTTTGTGCGCATCCTGCTGCCGAGCACTGGAGGACACACACGGGCAAGTACGGGAAGGGCAGCTTTCTGCGGCGGTTGCTCTTTGTTAAGGGAACGGGTGTGCTGTGCCAGAGAGCGTGTGCCACGGTGAACAACACCGCACCTCGTGGCTGTGCAAAGATTTTCAGCTGGCCAGTTCCTGCGTCCGTCCCGTCTAGCAGGTTGTCCTTTTAGTGTTTTTCCTGCCTTTCCCAAACACGAACATCAGGACTTCTCTCTCCCTTGGTAACAAACACAGACTGCAGAAAGCCTGGTTATTTGTATGGGGATAAATACTGCGTAATTAGAAGATTACTTACAGTTGGCTCTTGGGTCTGGTACTGTCAAAGGCCCACTCGTTCCACTGTATTGCAAGGTTCTGAAACTGTGTGGGAATCACTGCCAACCTGCAAAACAATCAGCGTGGCGAAACTGAACCGAGGAGGTAATCTGCCACGGCTGTTTATTCTCACTTCACGCAAAAAACGCTTTGTCCTGAGTTGCCACATAACTAGTGATCCAAGTTAAGCTTATAATCACGTTCTTATCATGACAAGTTTCTCAGCAGCAGCCTTCTCACGGTGGAAAGCTGAGTTGCTAGAAACAGATTAGCTAAGCTGCTTGCTGCCATACCTGTCATACAGACGTTGATGAGGTCCTGTACTGTTGTGCAAGTAATGGCAATAATCTGATTGTAATGCTGTTAGGGCTGGCAGAGAAGTAGCAGAGCAGTATCAGCATTTATTCACTCCCATGAAGAAGAAGAATGTGGTTTTGAAGCAGTACTATGAAATGAAAGGGGCTTATTACAGCGTGCGATGTCACACGTTCCTTTGTGTAAGGAGAGAACACAACTCCCGTGTCAGGGAACTGTGCAAATGTTTTTATCCGCTTGAAATAGCTGGATACCTTTTTCTGCAACACGTGACAAGGAGCAAAGGGGGACAGGGGAATGAGGGGCATCAGTAGGAACACGCTTCCTTACAGAAACCCGCCTAGAAGACGAGCCAGGGTGCATAGGAAAAGCCTTCCCCTTCGCACATCTGTTCCCCGGGTCGCTGGCTCCGTCTTAAATCAGTGCTGAAGCGGCCGCGCGTGTGTTGTAGGTAGGACCCGGTCTTGCTTCCTAGTGACAACAGCGCTATTCAACAACAACTCCTGCCCACCCTGGTACGCTGAGGAAGTTAAATCTCTGCATAAAACACGCCGCGTGGGCTCAGCACACTGCCCAAGGGGTAGCGCTTCCGGAAGTTGGCAGTAAAAAGCCCCTTTCTCAACGGTTTCCACAAACAGCAAAAAAAAACTCGGTGAAATGGGATCTGGGAGCCCCGTGACTCTGGTCGCTCAGCGCTGTTGGATGGTGACGCGCTGCAGCCAGGGAACAGCCGCGCTTCAGCTTTCCAGACCTGGTGCAGTAGCGGGTCACTCTTACACCATTTAAGACACTTGTTGGTGTTTCTATGGGCGTGTGCTTGCTGCTTTCCTGCTTTCTGTCTCTCCAAACAGCCTCCACGTTCAGAAGAAAGCAAAAATCTCCTAAGTAATGAAGCAGGATTTATAACTTCACACAGAGCTTATGACACCAACTGCTCTGCTGTAACCTACGGGCTTTCCTCTTCCGAGGAGCGCTTCCCTTTTCTGAGCTTGGCACTGAATGAAGCTGAGGAAGCGGAACAGCCCAGGGAAGGGAAGCGATGATGACAACTTTGGGATATTTTAAAATTTTACTCCCACAAGCTCACTCATATTTCTGATTGTTGTTGTAAGATTCCTCCTCCACACAAGGCTTATGCATCAGCAGAAAATATATTAAGCATTTATTGCACAATATGAAGTAAAAAGGGTTTTTTGGGAGGTGTGGGGGTGGGGACGGTGTTTGTTTTCTTCCCTCTGTAAAAAAAGGGAATTAAAAACCAAAGAAAATCCCCATAAACCACACTCGCAGGGCCCTTAATCCATACGAAGAAGGTATCTCTGTTATTACAGCAGGATGAAAAACATAAAATACCATTCTGTAAAAATTGGTAGGTTGCAACACTAATTTTATCTGATGTTACTCCTTCCCAGAAACACGATGGGAAGCTTTTAAAGCTTTGAGATACACAGCCAATTAGTGCCAGCCACAAGGTGCATTTTTTTTCCATTCTCGTGATTGATTTTGTGTGTGTGTGTGTGTGTGTGCGCGCGCGCCTGTCGCCATCGTTAGCAGCGGCAGTGGATACCAGCGTTCGCTGCAGCAGGTCTCACCTCACCTCTGGGCCGGGCCCCGTAACGCCTTGAACGAGCATTAGCACCCCGAGCTGCACCGCTGGGGGAACCCCTCCGTGACGCCCCCAGGGAGGTGCCTGCTGCGCTCGCCGTTAACGTGAGAAGCTGGGAAGGCAAACCCCGACTAGTCGCTCCCACAAGCAGGCAGCTGAAAAGCAGCTCGGGACTCTTCAAAACCTTCCCTCGCTTTGTGAAACTGTGGCTTCTCACATTTCTGTCCTTACAGGCAGCAGGTGCCCCGGTAGTTTGTTTCGCAGGGTCCTGGTTAGACTCCGGGCAGCTGCGAGGTAAGTTTCCTAAATGCATTTTTAACTTGAGATCTGGAATGAACACTGTGCTGCGCTTAAAAAAGGAAAAGAAAGTCTTGTTTTCCCAGTCACCTTTATTTCACTAGAAAAGTATAAACTGCCATCATAAATACAGTTATCACCAGTATAAAAATTAGATTCTCATTTATAAAATAAATATTAAAACATTCGAAGCAACAGGTACCTACAAATCCCATCACCAGGATGATTTGCATCATAAACTCTTCGCCAACTGTTTAATTAAAAGTAATGTTCAAAATGCAGTAAATACTGCTACCTGCCCCGTGCTCGCATGGAGTGAGTTACTACTGATGCAAAAACTGCAAAGTGTTTGTTCTAACACTTACTTGGACCACCAGACCACCCTGTCTGACGACTCTAGGTGTCATGTAATCTGGATACGCTTTCCAGACAGATAGCAGCTACCTACTTCAGAGTGTTCCTTACAAGTCGCCAGTACAGCAGTTTCAGGTTGTTTACCTTTGATTGTCTCTATCCAAAGATAAATATCCAAGTTAGTGTTATCCAAGGAGTGCAGAAGTAACTGTAGCATCTTTTTTGCATCTGAACTAACAGATCATTTCACCAGTTAATAATGTTAAAAGCAAGTCAGATAAATAGAGGTTTTGTTTCATAGAAACAGAAAAATGTTCCTTTTAGGTAGGTAAAGGACACAGGGTTTTTCGAAAGTAGTGTTTTTTTCCCCTCACAAGTACTGTAAACGTTCTGGCTCAGTAAGGCCACACTTTCAGAATGTCTGTACCTGGTCAAGTCAAAGGTCCATCTGGTTCAGAGTCCTGTTTCAGACAGAACAACGGAGGGAAGAGCACAAGACCAGGGTCAGGCTCTCGTAACGCACCACCAGAACACCCTTCCAGCCCCTGGCCACTAGTGACACGGGGGCTTCCTGATGTCTGGATTTTTTTGTCTGACGGATTTTTGAATCCACATAACTTTTGGGCTTCAAAATTCCTGTGTCAGAGAGGCTAAAAGGCTCCACCCAGCTACCCAATTTATGGGGTTTTTTTGTTTGGTTAGTTTGGGGGTTTTTCTTTGTTTGTTTTGTTTTGTTGTTTGTTTTTTTGTTTTTTTTTTTTTGCTTTAGAACTGCCAGTCATGTCCACCATAATTTTTCCTTAGATGCCATTCAGTGGCTCCTTTTCCCTTGCAGCTTGTGCTTTCTTGCGTTTGCACAGGATTACCGACAGGACAACGGCAAGAGTGATGACCGTGATGGCTATCACTGCTATGATGATAAAAACTTCTGCTCCGTATTCTGTAGGGGAAGAAAAAAAAAATCCAAGACTCAGTTATCAGAACCCATAACGTCACAGGGCCACAAACCCTTAGAACCCACTCCATTGAACTAAAAAATGCTTTCTGTGTTTTATGGTATCGCAGAAGTGTAGCGACCGCCTCAGTGCGAACTGAACTCGTTTTGATGTGAATTTGTTGAACTGCGGTAAAGCTTTGTTTCGCCCGGTTCGCGCGAGGTTTTAATCTACTTTAGTTAGTGCGTTAAAATACTATGCTACCACCACAAGAATAAGTTAAACCATTCCCCCTACCCTGCATTATTTCTGAGAAACTAAGTCTAAGCGGAAACTTATCCCAGGTCAGAAGCTAGAAAACACCAACAGAAGAGATTTCTGTTCAAGCTGTAATTTACTAGAACTACTGTGATAAACAAAAATACGTATCTAGATAAGAAAGTTAATTTGAGAGAGTTGATTTGCCAATTTGAGAAGAGCTTTTCTAGAGTGCAAATACTCTTATCTGGTGGAGAAGAAAGCTACAGTACGGCAGTGTGATATTATTTAATAAATATCGATGACCTCATATTGAAGAAAGTGTTTTCCAGGCTGCTTGTCTGGAATTAGACTGGCTGATTCACCAACCACGCGCTAACTCATTAACCAGTAATGAAGTTAATCTGCCAGCCTCTGGCCTTGTAACGTCACGGTAAAGAAAGGCTTTGTCTCATCAGGTGCTTTTCGGACAATGACTGAAGTGCAGTTCAAACTACAAGTCAATGGAAACGCCTGCTGTGCCGGTTTCCAGCACTTCTGGGTTTTAGAGCTAATCCCTCAAGGACGTACTATAGGACCTGTTCTTGGAAGGATTTGAGGAAAACAGTCAGAAAACAAATAAACGAAGCTGAAAGCTAGTGATGAGATCTGAAACCTCAGTGACCAGACATCAACTCAGCTTAAAACTAGTCAAAACAGTTCAGCAAAACCCTAAAACAAAGCCCAACTAGCTAAAGGTGGTGGGCTCTTACTGAATGCGAGTTCTTCCCGTGAGTTTCCACGTTAAATCTGTGTCCTCTCACTTATACAGCAAATAGTTCAATGTATAGCTTAGGAGTCACAATTTAGAGAGGTGTAAAAATAGAACTAAGTATCTTTTTGCTAGAATGCTGAAGACTGTATGACAAACTTCGCCAGACCTACCGTCTAAGATGTTCCTTCCTATGCTCGTACAAAACACCGCGCTTTCTTGGCCATTGCGGTTTTCTCTGCGGGAGGGAACAACTCCCTGTACGTAAAAGCAGTAGTTCTTTGTGCTGTCAACGCTCACTTCAAATGTGTGGCTTTTTGTGGTTGCATCTTTCTGTAAAGGAAAACAAAAACATTTCGAGAAAGTGTTGTCTGCAAAAGTGTAAGCTCTCAAGGCAGCACAGAAATCGTGTAGCTATAATATAACTACAGAATATGTAAAAAGTAGGATTAGACCTTACCTTTCCAGAACTTTGATCCTTCCAGTAATAGAGTTTGTATTCCAGGTCATGTTGGAAAATATCTTGGATACTTTGAAAGCTTCCATTAGGAAATGTATATGGTGTAAGTGGGTCTTGGAACACAACATTCAGTTTGGAACCTTTTTGTGTGTAATTCTGTATCTCCGGTTTTCCGAGAACAGCTAAACAAGCAGTTTTAGAATTAAAAAACTGGCATCTTCTTTTCTACACACCATGCTCTTTTTTTTTTCTTCCTCCCGCTACCCCTTTCCCTCCTCAAATCTAAGTTTACGGAGCCAAAGTAATACAGTGAAATCCTGGATTCTTAACCAATATCTTCATCTAAATGGTCATAAAACAGTTAATAAAATGGTCCGCTCACTGCAGGGAGAAACAAGCGGTAACTAAAGCCTTATAGACTCGCCTACAACAGGGAAAGCTTTACGCCTGGATGTTGTCTTCTCAGGTATCAGTATGGCTCCTGCAAGAATCTATAGGAAAAACCTTTAGGCCCCATCTAAACCCCGCCTAAGTCAATGGAAGTCATCTTGAGAGGAAGTTTGTGGTAAGGCTTAACCAGCAATCCTACTCACTCTGACTATAAGGCGTGAATTTTTCAGAGACGGCGAAAGGCGGTTCTTCGAAGTTATCCATCCCCGCGGCCGGCACGGACAGGACGTGTGCTGTGTAGGTCTCTCTTACGTCCCGCAGCACGTCAGTAACGTCGCACTCCGTCTCTGCTGTCAGGATACATTTCTTTTTGGTGTCAGATGTCTGTCTGAAAAGAGCGAGAAAGAAGCGTCAACACTTTCCAACCAGACTTCTATGTATTTAGGTATGTTAAAATACATTTTTTCCCCTCAAACTGTACAGAATCCCCTCATCCAGTGGAACAGCCTTGCAGGTGTGCAAGGCTGAAAAGGAGAAGAAAAACCCCAAAAAACCACTATCCTGTACAGTTATATTTCACAGTTCAAAGTAAAATCAAGTAAATCAAATATGACCCATATTAATTATAGAAATATGTTGTTGGATACATATATGAATTAGAAATTAAATATTTTCTATGAATTGAAGAGAAACCGCAAGTAGTTCTGATTTTGGATTTTTCTGCAGTTGACTTATTTAAAATATAAGATGCATAAATCACTTCAAAAGTGTTATCCCTGGAGCACCTGAAAACTATTGCCTTAAGAAACATCACTTGTCCTAGCAAGCTCTGTTGACACCATATTCATTGTTTAATGTGACAACAATATCTCCTCATATAAGTCACTTCTGTTTGCATCTGTGCTGGTGCAAATATCAGTAAGAACCAGGCAGCAGAAGGAATTTTCTTTGCAGAATTACAATTAAAAAAATACTGTCCCAAAACATGACTCCTGCACTTCTCTTGATTTTTAAATGGTAGAAAGCAGGTCCATTTACTTAAGAAATAATAATGAAACCAGAAAAAACGCGTTAATTCCCCATTTTACTTCCTAATAAGAAGGAATGGAGAAACAGATTAGGTATTACCGCTTCAATTCTTTTCCCTGATTTTGCTGGTGAACTAAGGAAAAGAAAAATTGCGTGGTCTGAGCTGAAAGGGCAAGAGGCTGCCTGTTCGAAAATTAACAAAGGAGTTTTCCTCTGAGTAGTTAAGTCTCGCCTGAACTCCCTTCTCACATCACCAGAGTTCTTGTGATGTCACAGGTCAGTTAGCAATAGTGTCCTGGAGGTGCCTTGAGAAGGGACAGAGGAGACTTGAGCTCCGTGATCAAATCAATGTACCCTGTGAATGTACATAGAGGCGACAGCAAACATTTAAGCAGAGTTCAGCCGTAAGAGCAACTTGTCTGAAGAAGTGCCTCCGTGTCAGAGCTATACCTGATTCTGGGCTGAACCTTGGGCAAACAGACTTCAATTTCTTGCAAGCACAAATGGCTGGAAAGAAACTCTGGGTTCATAAATGTCGTAAAATCCTTTCTACTGTGTGCGTGCTTTTAAGTCTATTAATTTAATCAGTCCCTTAAAGAAAAAGAGCACATTAGGCCACTGCTCTGGTATCGCATCCATTTGTCATGAGAGAGCTCTCATTTCTATGCCACTTGTACAGAGAGAGGAGACTACAGTACCATACTTGCATTAATATGTAGGAGAGCTGATGATGCAGTTTCCCCTCGAGGCATGTTTAATAATGGTCTGTGAATTAATATGGGAGCCAAGAACAGCACAGATTTATTACGGAACTTCATGGGAGGTTCTGTGCCGTATTGAAAGAAGCATTAGATGCTTCACATAAGCTGGGTGCTTTTTATGTCCATGATATTTCATAGCTTACAGAAAACATGATGACAGAGGGCGTCTTGACAGAGGTAGACAAACAAAGGTAACTTTTAGTACTACCCAGCAAGAGAAATTATTCACTTTACTATGATTCACCAATTAGAATAAAATGCAGACTCGTATTTGTCAGACACCTCCCAAAACTAAAGACGAAAGACTCAGTCCAGACACCTTGAAAGACACAAAGAGGTGAAGTTCCATCTAATACATGGTATGTCAGGCTGAGCGTCAGCTTCCTTGAAGCATCCTGGCCTGCACCGAACCCCAGAACTGAAATACTGGTCTAAAGCTCAACTCTCCGTTTCTGAAGTGGGGAAAGCCAGAAGCCTGGATCAGATATTCTTAGAGTTGGATATAAAGAAGTATTAACAGCTGGGTTGGCAATTTTCCTGAATCCTCATGTTTGGGCTCTTTCCTGTCACATTCAGTCTCAGAAATACTCAAACACACTCTATTTGTATCTTCTTCAGTTGCCACTAATGGACACACCTTGGTGTTATCTACTTACCCCAGTATTTCTACTGTATAGAAGTAACCCGATGGTTTTGGTTGCCACTGTAGTATAGTTTTAAAATTGATTGAAGACCAAGTTATATTGACTGCTGTTGGTAGTTCTGGATTGCCTTTAAATACAGAAAAGTGAAGAGCGCCGTCAGTCATATTACATGTGATTCCTGGTTCCCTGCAGTCACTGTTTAGTTAAATCAAGCAGTTGCTGTTAATTGCTACTTGGAAATGTTCTTTTTGGGGAAAAGGCTCAGTCCTGCCCTCTGGGCTCATGCTCGTCTTACTAAAGGAATGTGTCATAGCAGAAGCGAGAAATACGAGAAGAAAACTATTTCCCGTCTTGTAACTCCTAGGTTGCTGAGGTAAATTACGTGGAGTTCTGTCTAATGCTTCCTTTTTGATCCAAGACCTCTGAAGAAGCTACAAAAGCTTGAAGATACTCATGAGAATGTCCAAGCGCCAAACAAATGTGGTGAAGTTCAAAATCAGCCCTGGCTGTACCTGCTGCAGAAGGCGTTAGCTCCTAGTTTCCCCATGTATTTATTTTGGGAAGATAAAGTCTGTAAAAACCAGTGGTGACCCCACAGGCTGGCAACGAGGAGAGGGGCTACCGCGGGCGAGCGTGGCCCGCGTGATGGCGGAGGGGAGGCTGAGGTGACCCGCCAGCCCGACGCCCCAGCAGACGCAGCAGCTGCTTCGGGGAACTGCCTGGGAAGAAGCCAGGGCGGAAAACCCCGCACAACCCCTGTAACCTCTGGAAATGGAATGTTTCACTGAGCGATAACCTAATTGCGTTCAAAATACCGCCTTCTCAGCCTCTCCAACAAACTCGGGACTGGGGACAAGGGAAAGAAAACTTGCCGGGCGCTCCTTGTTGCTGGAGGTCAGCAGCTGCCGACCCCGGGGTCTCCCTCCTGCTTCCCAGCACCGACC